AGAATGCTTAAGGATATGCAAACCAGTGGTCCACCACAGCAACTTTGATCCAACGTCTGCCACAACTCCGGCAAATACCAACAAAACTTACCAACCAACACCACCCTCACTTTTAGAAGGATACAATGGGGTGGAAACTTGTGGAGAGAAGAAATGATTAGAAGATTTGGAAAAAGAAACAAGAAGTGGTAGCTCTCAAGCTAGAGAAGAAACCCTCAGGTTTTTAAACATTGTTTCACTTCCAAAAACTACCTACAACAGCCCAAAACTCCTCTTTAAATAGGAAAGAAAAGGAGGCCAACAGCCAGCCACATTCGCCCCCTACAGCCAACCAAAAAGGGGAAGAAAAATACAACATTAAAGGCACGGTAGAAGCCCACCTGAACAGCCAGAAAATTGGGAAAGCCAAGGGACAGTAACAGGAATCGAGCAGCCAAGGCCAGGGGAACCGGGAAAGTCAGGGAGCAGTAGCAGGAACCGAATAGCCAAGGCCAGGGAACCGGTAAAGCTAGGGAACAACAACAGAAACCGAACAGCCAAGCCAAGGGAACAGGAACTGAACAACCAGGCCAAGTAGCAGCTCAGCCGCCCCCAAATCAGCCCAAACACAAAGCACCCAAAGAGGCTAGCACACTAAAGAAAAAATATGTCCAATGAGCACCTAAACCACACATGATCATCGGTTTCCTTCCATCATTGGGTAAACAAAAATAAAAACTAAAAATTACAATAACATAAAAAAAACATGAGCATGAATAATTGAATGCATCATAATTTAGGTGAGTTCTAGGTGTTTATTCTCTCTTGAGTACCACTTGAGATTTTCATTTTTCTAGTCATCAATTTTTGTTTAATATTTCAGATACAATTTATGTTGATTCAAATTGCGCTCTTGTGTCACCTTAGTGAAGGGGGTATTAGACAATGTGTTTGGCCTTCTCACAAAAGCTAGAAAAGGTTTGTATTGGTTATGTACTATAACCCACAATTGAAATTTTATCCCTCAGGACTCTCACTGCATCATGATGCGTATGTGTGGTGCACGAAGAACTGGATGAGTAGCCTTCATATTCCCACACTAAGGGCATATATAGACATTTTAAGTTCATTGTACAAGAAAATATAAAATAATAAAAAAACCCTCTACCACATCAAAAAAGACGGGGATTTTGAAGTTTGCACCATCGTGCCAAGAAAGGTGCTTGGTGAGGTGATTGTGCACGATGATGGGGAATATGAAAGAAATTTTTTCTAAGTGGTCACTTACCATTAGCGGTATTAATATTTGACCCGACCCGAAACCTGACACTGACCCGACCCAAAAAATTTTAAGTTTGGGTCAACCCGTTTGCCATATGGGTTGGGTTCGGGTCTGAGATTTCATCCCATTTTTAAAATCGAGATGGGTTTGGGTTGACTCGATAACCCAAAGCTGGCCCGGATAGCGTAAGAGGAAGCTTGGCAGGGCTAAGGCCTGCAGAACATTGGAATCCTATTCCTTCTTGCTTCTTGTTAGAAAGAGTGAGCCCGATGTTGGAATTGGAATCCTATTTGCCTATTTCTTCCCATCTGCTTACCATTAACTCGCTTTAATCTCCATCTGCTTCATTTTACTCTCTCTGTTTTTGTCTTCTTCTGTTGGGAGTTTCGAGGCCTCTTCCACCATCTCCTCCTTCTCTTCCCTCCACACAACGTCCTTCTCAGACCTGCTAGGTGGCGCCGGCGCCGGCACCGATTACGGCTCCATTGCTGAGTGCCGAAGAAACGTTGAAGTCAGTTAGTGGATTTAGCGATAAGGGAGGAGGAGGAATACCGAAGACTTTTACTTCGCCATCTTCGCAGGCCTCAGCTCCGCTGAGCTCCAAAGTTCAAGTTTATAACTGCTCCCTCACTTTGCATCTCGCCTCCTCCCATCTCTCCTTCCTCTTACTTCGCCATCCCCGCAGGCCTCAGCCCCGCCGAGCTCCTCGACTCACCTATTCACTCGATGAGCCAAGATTCCGACCCAAAACTGACCACTCGCACCACACGCAACACACTGAGCACCTCCTGCCGAGTCACGTTTGGACTCAGCGATTGCCTGAATTAGGTTGACATCCAGGTTCACGGGTAGGGTCTGGTCAACCTAGTAACCCGTGCGGGTCTGGTCTAGGTTGGAATTCCTATGAGGTGCAGATTGTGCTTTTTTGTAGATGGTTTGACTGAAAAAAAAAATTGACTTGTCGTTTTATTTCAATAAATAGCTAATATCCCCACCACAATGAAAAATTTCCATATCAAATAATCATGACCTGCCCAGGAGAATGTGGTTTTTGTACATGGAGATGATATTGTATCATATTTCATCTTTATAACCTCTAGTTTGGTGGGAATAAGACATCTAGTAGTAAATGATAGTAAGGTGCTGTTCACGTGGCTAACAAGATATGGAGTTATATGTGGCTAAGTTTATAAACTAGCTCTTGCAACTCTCTAGGTAGATATAACATTTATAGCAATATCTCTCTCTATCCTTAATCTTCACAATTTTCCCTTGTATGTGACATATTTGGAAGATATTCTTCTGTCAATCATCATAATTAGGCCCAGACATAGATAAAATCTATTGACATCTAAGGGGGCAACAATAAGGTCATCATCAAGTAATTGTTCTCATCCCTAATTTTGTCAATCCTGCCTTCCTTAGTGGTCTTAATCTCAATGTCATATATCAATACAATGTGTAACTTATAATAAATTTTCATGTGTCCCTTCTGATGGTACATAAAGAACACAATATCTTTGATACTTCTAGAGGTTGTAACTGTGGGGTTGTTAGGATTGGAACTAGTGGTTAATGTTATCATTGTTTATGTGGCACTATTAGTAGACCTGGGGATTATGCATGGGGTGTAGGATGTCATCTTCTGCTTTTCTACAAATAATGCATAATGAAATGCATTTTCTAAAGAAAACATATGGTTGGTTGATGAATCACTAAACTCACAACCCATACCCAAGCCACCAAGCAAGGTTTCAAAGAAAAAATATCTCTAATTTTTTTCATTCATCAAATGATAGCTATTAAAGAGATTGTTCATCATTTTAAATAATAATGCAGAACAAGAAATGAATTTTAATGGAGAAGGACATTAGGGTCGGTTGCAAGAAGAGTGGTTGAGATGGTGCCTTTTAAAGTCGATGTCTTTGTCTTCTGTGGGAGTGATGCTTGTTGGGAATTTGGGGGGTCTTGTAGCACCTAATACCGCAAATGCAGACATAAAATGCACTTTAATACACTCTTGTATTTGAAACAAATGTGCTAATAGCCCTTCAATATAACAATTACTAGACAATAACGAACCTATAAAAGAAGCAAAGTAAATATTAAGGAGCTCTTCTTGATATGACTCTCTTGATGTGCTATGTCAGCTTTGCACAAAGGCCCTTTTTAAAGAGAGATTATTTTGTGCGGTCACCGGATCGTCCGGAGGCAAATCAAAGCGTACCACGTCACCCGATACACAACATCGATAAACAGCAAAAAAGTGATGTGGCGTGCTCTGATTTGCCTCCGGACGCCATCCGATGACTGGACAGAATGATTTTTCCTTTTTTAAATATGAAATTGGTATACTTCAACTTTAGTTTAGGCTAGTTGACTTTTTTGGCCTGATATGCCGACCTAAAGACATAGGTTGGCTTGACCTGATCCAGTAGTTCTGTGGTCAGGATTGGCAAAGATTAGTCCATTTTACGTGATTTGACTCATAAAACATCTATTTTAATCAAGTTGATCCAATATAGCTCAATCAAACTTGCCTTAGTTGTCAATCTCGATCCAAGAATCAAGCATGACCAACCTTGGGATATTGAACCATCCAACTGATGTAAACCCACTCGGCGGCAAGCCTTGCAATAATCTTTAATACATACTAGATATGTTTATTTATGACTAAGTATTGCCTAATTTTCCAATGTCAAAGATAATATTTATATGTTGGGAAGATGTAAATCAGATGATGCACAAAATGAGAAGTTTTTTATATATAGCTACTATCAATGTAAAAATGCTCCTAGCTATACTTCACCTGTGTAAATTGCATAAGCAAGAAACTTTTTTGCCAGTTCATCCCTCCTTACCGAGGTTATCTTTTTCCAGTAATTTTTCATTGATAAGCTACAATATAATGATGTTACAGCTCAAAGGATTTGCTTTTTAAGTGGTTGATAATGGGGGGAGATCAAGCTCCTTTTTTTGTCATTTAACTAAAATGATTAACTAGAGAATGACTGAATGATTCAGAATAGGCCTAGTCTGAACTTCAAGTGGGTGGGTTCATTTAAGCTTGGACCTGTTGGTAGTTAATCGACATATTCCCATTTTGAGAACTGTAACTAAAATGTTACCTTTTTTGTGTTCACTAATTTTCTTTTTGTATGTTCGTATCATTATTGCTTATTTTGGGTGCATTTTCTAGCTTTTTACATAGGTGAATTAGTTTTATCATATTAATTGTTCAACGTTTAACTCCTAGTTCAATAATCAAGCTGAGTCAAGATTTTTACTTAAAACCAAAAAAAATGTTGAAAATACTTTCCCGCACATAATTTGCAATCTTTTGCGGCTTAACCTTTTGTCAATTGAGCTTAAATGGAGTTTTATCAAATTCAAATTTGTTCAAACATGTTCAATCGGATTTAGCTTATCTAGCTTTGCTATCTATGATTATTTTAATGCTCATGCTGGTAATATTCTGGTCTCACATTTCAACCAACATTCCAGCATTTGTCTTGTATCATGGCATGTATTAGTTAACTTCAACTATTCATCGCCATTTTTTCACTTCTTATGTGCAAATAAATATTGGCATTTGCACTTTGCGTTGCCTTCCAGAAGTGGAATTCAGTTGATTATATTAATTGGAATGCTTCCCTTTCGTTAGTAAAATAATATACGCTTTTAGTTCACCATTTTTCTGCACGAGCACATCTGAAAACAAGTTGCATCCTCATTTCAGGCTGAGGCTGCCTATGATATGTTGCTTATGCAAAGCTTAAATCAGCGTAGATCTGGGAAAGTTGCCAACAGCAACATTCGTTATGCTGACGTTAAACCAGTTGGAAATCCAGGAGCTGGAGCCTTGCCACAGTGGCTGACATCAACGGTCAAGAATGTACCTATTTCAATTGAATTTCCATCGACAGGCACTTTAGGCATACAAGCAGGGGTTTATGGTGCCCTAATGGTCTTCACGTTTGTTAGTGGAGCCTCCAGTAACTCAGCTGGGGCATACAGTGGGGCTGATGTTCCTGGGTTGATATTAGCTACTAGTTTTGGAGCCTCAATCTACTTTTTGAGGACGAAGAGCATCAACTTAGGTAAATGCCACTTCTATCCTCTTTTTGTTATTTTGCTCATTTTAATCTATACATCATGTTTCATGAATTACTTGTGAAGCCTATTGGAGATTACCCAAATTGCGAGCAATAATTTTTGCCCCAGTTGAGAGAAACAATGATCAAAGGTTTGAGAAGAATTCAGTATGTTTGGTAGTGTGATGACAAGTGATGAAGATCTGTCAAATAAACCTTCTATGATTTACTTTTACCTAGTTTTGATCAATGTTTTTAAAACTAGATCAGATTAGCGGGTTTGATCGGTTCAATCGTGAACCGATCAAGTTGTCGGTCCGGTCTAGTTAAAAAATCGGATTCTTAATGAACCCGTGAAAACCGGTTTGTACTGGTTCCGATTCGGTTGAACCAACCGGTTCAATAGATTTTTTAATTTTATTTTGCAGTTATTGGGGAAGCAGTACAACCCTTCTGAGGAAATGTGTGTTGAGAGAGATGGATTTCTCACTTGATTTTATTTTGCATCTACTGCATTATATAGTCTTCAAACATAAAAAATACTTATGCATCATATTTCATCAATTTTTATGATAATTTAATTCAAATTGGCTTATAAATCAACTCATTTATTATGAAAGATAAAAGCTGATACCAATTCAAATGATTCTTGTAATAAAATATTAGAACTGATAAAAAATTAGAAAAATAATTTTAGAATTGATAAAAAATTAGAAAAATAAAAAAAAAGCTTAAAATAAAGAAGGAAAAAATAACTTTTAAGAATTTTTTTATAAAATTTATAATTAAGCAATTTACATTAATATTTTTCAAATAAGATGCTCTCATGCACATCAGTTGAGAATGGGCTGGCAAAAATTTGACTCGTTAGTATTAATAATATTAAAGAGGATGAATGTTTGTTTTTTTCTCCTGTGATCTTGGACAAGTTTATTCAAGTGTATTAGCTTTTTTCATATATTTTGTGCTGATTTAAGAATCAAATTTGAGTCGTCATGAAGCCCTTCCAACATATACCTTTGATTGAATTTGTTATTGGTCACATCTTTCTTGGTTAAGCCATCTTGTTAAGTGATGCAATCTGAAACTTCTATTTCAATATTTTATGTACGTATTGGAGTAATATAGCTGTTCCGATTGAGTTGATGTGGCATGCTCAAGTTTTCTCTGTTATGAACTTATGGCAATCAGTATTCTAGCACCTCATTTATTTATTGCAATTTTGAAAGCCACTTTCCATCATTAAAGATTTATAATTAAACATGATATTTCTCATTTGATATCGAAGTTCATAGATGGTTCTATCGAATTGGATAGATTTTGCAGTCCTGCTGTAATGGGCAACACTCTGGTTCTGAAACTGGATGGCTTTGACCTGAGTGAAAATCTTAATGTAAACATTTTGCATTTGATTAACTGTGTACAAGGATTAATTATTCTGTGCGGATGCCAAATGCCATCCGGAGACCAATCAGAATTCGCCACTTCACCCCTTCGCTCGGTATTGCTTGGTAACTCTCGGTACCGCTGATGTGGGACATTCTGATTGGTCTCCGGACGACGTTCTGCGTCCTTCCTCCGCACAGAACAATTTCTTGTGTACAAGACTTTTCTGTGCAGTCTTTATTCAATTGATAATATAGCTGACAATTATTACTATCTCAAGTGTGATTCCTGGCAAACTATGATCACTGTCACTCTTAGGCTTCATTTGGAATGGCATTTTTACCGCTTCATAAACCAGCTTTTTAGTACAAAAATTAAAATTTTTATACTAGAAAGCTGCTTTAATAAGCCGAAAGAAAGTCGTCTGAAACAAAGCCTTAATCTGATATATATCAACTGTGCAGCTGCAGCAAGTTTTTACTTTTTCTGTATCTATGTTTATTATTAACAGTTTCCATTATCTTTGTGCAGGAAAGGCAACTTTGATGACTGCAGGCGGTCTTGCGGTCGGTGCAGTGGTGGGATCAGCAGTTGAAAATTGGTTACAAGTTGACATTGTCCCATTTCTTGGCATCCATTCTCCTGCTGTCATCATAAGTGAATTTATCCTTTTCTCCCAGTTGTTGGTGTCTCTTTATCTGAGGTAGGCCTGGAACCTGAACCAAAATTCTACTTTCTGTAATTGTCAACACATTCAAGCATTTTTAGTTTTGTTTAGCTGCTTGGAATGTATATGATGCCGTATTATGTACAGTAATTAATCTAATCACAGCTTTTACATTTAATCCTGTGTTCTAAAATTATTTCAATATTTTGCGCAGTTGTTGGTGCAATCCATGTTCTTACCTAATGAGGCTATTACTTTATGTATATTTGCTTGATATTCACTGTGAGTTTTAGGCTTCGTTTGGGACGACTTTCTAACTGCTTCTTAAAGTAATATTTTAGTACAATAATTAAAATTTTTGAACTGAAAAGATGCTTTAAGAAACATTAAAGAAAATGTCCTAAATGAAACATTAGGCTTTATTTGATATGACTTTTTACTGCTTTTTAAAAATTAATTTTTAGTACAAAATTTTTTCTAAAAAGGTTGATAAAAAAGTTGTCTCAAATGATGTTTTAATTTAATTATATATTTACTTAGTTTATTTATTTATATGATAATTAATATTATAATATATGAAATTTATAATAATATTTATTTTAATATGTCGTGCCAACAACAATTTCCCCTAAAAAACAATTAAATAAAATAATATAAAAGAAGCTAAATCAACTCTTTGTTGATCAATTAAAGCCCTTTTGAGCCTAAATAATTCAGTACTAAATTTGACATATATAATAGATAATCATGCCCTATCTTACGAACAATTATTACGTCTTCTGACCGGACGTAAAGCTATGCTCGGCCACCAATAACATGTCGTCACGTGCTCTTACTCTTTATCATTCGGCCCGACGACTTGATCCGGACTGGAACCCGGGAATGCTATGTTCGCGTATTGCTCGGTATTGCTCGGTATTGCTAGGTATTGCTTGGCAATAACGATAAATACCGGTCTGTGAAGACCAATACCGAGTAATACCGGACAATACCGATTTGTACCGAGTTTTTTCTAGAAAAACTCGGTACAATAGAAAAACTCGGTACAACTCGGTATTGCTCGGTATTTGCTCGGTATTGGTTATTGCCGAGCAAAATCAATCAATACCTAGCAATACCGAGCAATACCTAGCAAAATCGAGAAATACCGAGCCTTCCTGGGTCCGTTCCGGGTTGGGTTGTTGGGGTGCGCGGTAAATAGTGAGAACGCGTGGCGTGATTCTACTTGCGGCTGAATGTAGCTACGTCCTGTGACCGGACCAAATAAAAGTTCCTATCTTACTGATCAGAAGTTGCCTGTCACTTTTTTTTTTTTTTTTGTAAGACAATCATATCAACAAATAAAAAAAATAATCTAAATGAGTTATTTCGAGTCAAAATGGATCGGCAGGTCAACCCAAAGCGGATCTGTTTAATAATCGGGTTGAAATTCCGTACACAAACCTAGCCTATTTATTGAACTAGTCAATCTGAATCCGAATTTTTCGGATCAGCTTGACAGGTCGAGTCATTTTTTTACAGCACTATAAATATTTAATCTCTTTCTGCATAATTGCACAGTAAACTATATTGCATTTAACACTTATGGCAAATTTGAAAATTTTAGATATTAAAAGAGAATACGACTTAAAACTTGCATTTGAAGTTTATGATATTATAGTCTAATTTAATTTATTATATAATTATTAATTATTTTGCATTTGTTTTCACATTCATAATATATCATAAAATATGCGAGGATAAAACTCATCTTCTTTTAAGATGGCACAATTGGACTAAGTATTCTTTTAGAAGGATATAAGCTTTTATCCTCACACTTACCATTCATCCATAATTTTGAATCATTGAGATATATAATGAGTTGAGCTCGAGCTGGCTCACAAATCAACTGGACTCATTTGCCTCGAGCATTAAACTTTATAAAGTTTCATCACATATCCCTTAACACAAATGAAATTGCGTCAAATGAGAAAAATTATTTTGTGCGAACACCGAACGTCGTTCAAGGCCAACCATCACTTTTTTGTTGTGTATCGATGCTATAGACCGGGTGACATGGCATATTCTGATTAGCCTCTAGACCGTCCGTATCCACATAGAATAATTTCTCCAACTTGACAGAGAAGATAAATGAATGAATTACCATGTAAAATAAGATGGAATGCCATGGCTGCACTAACCTTATTACAGTAAAATAACAATTTGTCTTTCAATTGCTATATTGTAAAGCTAATGGTTCAATAAGTTTGCTAGCACTAATTCCTTCTTTGTTGATTCAATTCCTCTGTCTGTTTTATCATCTTATTATCAATATAAATAGAAGTAATTGACTAATCAATCATTCTATTAGTTTAATATGATGTTAGTATTATTAAGAGCATATCTATATATACATTGAAGTAAACTTCCTAAATTCCTTCATCCAGTTTCAAGCAAACAAACACTCCAATTTGGATAAATGAGACTTCAATCATTTTTCAAATATTTATAGTGAAACAAATAGGCCTTCTTCTCTTTCACTCTTTGCTGAAATTTACACACATAAATGGGATTTACTATTTGATTGGCTGGGTGAGGCTTCCTGCTCTCAAAGAAACTACAGGGCCTTTTCTTGAGCTTGAGTTGCTTATAAGGTTGGAGTCAAGGAACAAAACAGTTACCGATATATCGTCGTGAAAGTGCCGGCGCACATCGCGATCGATCTTCATAAGATCGGAGTATCTCATCTCCCTCTTCTTTGCAGCTTGGACTATAGCAGCCTTCACAAGCCTCCTAGCAATTCCCTGCAAGAATTCAGTAGGTTAGCTTGCAATGAATTGTCACCTAAAGGTAAAGAATGTTACAATTGTTGAGTTCATTTTGAGTGGGCAAATAACTTTTAGACATTTTTTTTTCCTTTGGGGTTCATTTCAAGGTTCTTTTGCTTACATTCTTCTTGTTCATTTATCTTCTTTGTGTCCGTTTACTTGTTTTTGGTTGAGATGAAGAGATTCAAAAATATCAACTTTGAAAATCTCTCTACTCTAGAGATTGTTTTCATTTTGTTGAAAAAACCAAGGAAAATGCATGCAAGGAAGCAAATATTGCAGCCACATCGTCTAAAGAAAGTGAAAGATGAAACCCTCTAAGGTGACTAAAAAGGCCAATGATCAAGGATTAATTATTCTGTGCGGACACCGAATGCCGTTTGGAGACAAACTAGAATATGCTGCGTCATCCCTTCGCTAGGTACTGCTCGGTACCGCTGATGTGGCGCATTCTGGTTGGTCTCTGAATGACGTTTTACGTCCGGCCTCAGCACAAAATAATTTCTCCTGATCAAAGTACATCAATTGATCTTAAGAGTTCCTTCAATCTTCCCCATTCCGTTTAAACTAACCTTGAAGATGCTGTTCAGGAAGAGTTCACCAAGAAGACTTTTTCTGAAAATGCTGTCAAGAGCCAAGATGCCTTTAGTTTAATCTTGAAATGTTACTATCAAGTTCATAGAGAGTAAACAATTGGGCACTGATCAAGAGAATGGTATCTAAGTGAGGTCTACTCCTAAAAGGATTATGAGTGCTCGATCATACAAGCTGAATTCATCATGATTCTCAAAATTGAACTGCAAAATGAACAAACCTCAAGCTCAAGATCTTCAAGGAAAAAAGTAATCCTCTAATATGACCATAGCGCTAGTTGGAGTTTTGAATTATTTTATAAATATGAACCTTAGATCTAAAATCCCTTTTTCCACATTTCAGTGTTCTAAGTTCTTCCTTTGTTCTGATTTCATGTTTTTGTCCTTCTTCTAACAATGGTTTTTTCTTTGATCAAGAGTTAAAACATTTCCAAGGTTTGAATTCAAAAACCACATCCTACATAACAAGTAACATGGTGAGAGTCATTGAGAATCTTTATGGTTATAAGGCCATCAATTTCCCCAACACATTTTACAAAGATGACATGTGCTTCTACTAAAGGTCAATTCCATCTTAATTATAAGTTCCTCTACCAGGAGATCATGGATATTTTGAATTTCAATGATATCATTCTTGCCCAAATCATGACAACATATTTTGCAAGAATCATTATTTTTCTCCAAGAAATATGTGCAAATTGGAGTATCAATTTTTTTCTACATATGTTCGCCATAAAACTCTTCCAAGATGATTGCATATAATTTTCTTTGAATTTATCAAAATCATGGATATTTTGAATTTCAATGGTACCATTCCTACTCATATCATGATGAATTCTTTCATAAGTATCATATCTTCTATTATTTTCTCCAAGAAACATGTGTGAATTAGAGAAGCAATTCTTTTCAATGCGTGTTCATCATAAAAGCCTTCAAATATGAATGCTGTTTATTTTCTTTGAAGTTTATCAAGATTAATGACTTGAGGAATAAATTAAAAGAATTAAAATTGAAGTTTTTTTTTTTAAATCAACCAAGGCTTACTGTTTAGAACAAGACCAAGGGATTCGCCAAAGATAAGCTTTGCTCAAGCATTTCATTCTATGATCGAGTATGAGCAACTCGTATGTATAGACATACATAACAAGAGTTTGTATTGCCTTTCTCTATACCACTGAGGCAATGATCAAGTGAGCACTTGTAGGTAAATAATTGAATTTTTTTTTTTTTGTGTTTTTATATTTTTCCTGTCAAGTTTTGAATTCTCATTGAAACTTTCTTTTGTTTTTTTATAGATGTGATAATTCCTCAAATGCTGATGACATAATTTCCGATGATCCCAAAGTTGCGGCTTTTTTAGATTAGGCGAGAAAGAAATGAGGGTTACTCTTATAGAAAAAGCAAAGAAGAAGCAACAAAAATGGCAGATTTCATCGAGGTTTATTGTATTAAGTGATTGATGCCTTTTGATGAAGTGGTCCATACTGTTGCATTGACTTCAACTGCTCAAGCAAATAATTCTTCCATTCCACCGACTTCTTCTGTTCCTTGCTTTGCTTCTACTGATATTAGAAAGAAGATAATGCGTGAGGGGGTTAAGTAAACAACTCGTCTTGTTGGAATTGTGATTGATGAAGTATTTGTTCTAAGGCAGAGCATGTGTTGATTTAGATGACTTTAACAAGAATCTTTTTTTTTTCTATAGTTGAGTCTATACTTTCTTTCATAAAATTCAACTTAGAAGCGAGTTGATTTAGGTGACTTTAACAAGAATCCTTTTTTTTCGGCAAATCGACACAAGAGCCGACAACTTGTTGAACCTAATTCGCGTTGAAAATATGACTTTTGATCTAACCTAGGGAATATTGGATGTATATAAATAACAACTATGACAAATACATATCAAATTTTTTTCTTGAGGAAAATCAAATCAATTTACATCAAGAATACGATTAGATAATGAATATTTCTTTACTTTTGTCTAGACCTTTTTCTTTCTTATTCCAAACATATAATTTTAAAAGGATGTATAATTTGTAATTACCAATAAATATTGTTTGAAATTTTAGTGATACTTGATTGATAAGTTTAATTAGATGAAGTCCATAGTACAAAAGGATGAGGATGAGCGAGGATATAACTTCTCTGATAAAAGGCAAGTGATTAAAATGGAGAAGACCTTAATGGTATTATGGGACAACATTCTTTTATGGAGATGTAAAGTAAATTTTACAAAGTTGCTTTAGTTCACCTATATTTTCTAGATCCAAGTATCAAGCAACACATAATTCATTTTAGCCTAATTGTGTTAGAAATAAGAATGTTAAAATAAAGTATGATATAACTTGGAATAATGGAGAGAAATTATAATATTTTGAAGATGGCTAAGTCAACACTTATCCCAAATAAGAAAGTCGAAGAATATACTTAGATATATTTTGGGTGTATAGCATATATAGTTTAGGCAAGTAGTTGCAAAATTAAGATGGGTGGATGGATTTAACGTGACGAATTAGGAAGGAAAAAAACTCATTTCAAAGATAAAGCGAAGAGTAGCGTCGGAAAAATTCTTACAAAAGTTAGAGTACGAAGCCTATGTCGCACTCAACATAAATGAATAGAGGTCAAACTAATAATGAACTCATCCACAAAATCTTCATATACAATTGACCTTTTACCACTACAAACATCCTACTGTCCAATTATAGCATAAGTTAGCACATGTTATTAGTATGGTTTCATAGATTTGATAACTTACGAAAGCTCAAAGTACTCTTCAGTCTTCAAGAAACACATCTCGTGGGGGCACAATTGAAAGTTATTGTGGAAATAGAATTGCATATAGAAAGAAGAGTCAGCAATTTTCTTTTCATTGATTGAATGTGAAAGAAGGCCAGAACTCCGAATATCGTGAAACTCAGATCCTACTCCTGATGGTCAGTCTGGCGCTTGCCCCATCTAAGAAGAGTTGGGTGGGCCGGCCCTCCGTACAAAGAAAGAAAGCAGGGTGCCTTGCATCGCCAGGTCTTCAGTTTCTGTTCCGACTTTGATCTTTCGCCCTCTGGTTTACCGTTTTAGCCTTGGATCTTCCTCGGTTAGGCTCTCCCCCCTACCTTTCCCTAACTCGCAATTTTCACTATAAATAACTAGCTATTGCTTCTACAACTCTGCTCTGACCCTCCACTTAACCTTTGTGGTTTTTTATCACCAACAATATATCTATGCCAATCAGAAGTACTGCAATTACTAACTGAGAAGCTCCATGAGAGTCTAAAGATGCAGTAACCAATTAGGTAATACTCATCCACTATTAGCGCAAATATGTAATATTTACCCAGACAAAATCATGAGATAGATATAGCAATATTTTCACTATTTCCTACAAATCCGTACAAATCAGTAGAGGGGCTATCAAAATCAGAAACTTACTTTACGAGGATTATTCTGGACAATGTTGACAGCATCCTGATTGCTGATTTGCTCCCATAGTCCATCTGATGCAAAAATAATAAATTGGTCATTAGGATGCACCTTCTGTGTAGATATCGATGGCTCCGCACTAAGTATGGGCTTTCTGAAAGTTTCCCGCAGCCGAAATTTAGCATCCAGTGGCTCCCTATTATATTCTGCCTTTTTCAGGAACGCATCACCAATTGATCTGGAAATCTGCAAAGTTCATGATATACTTCATAAGAGCTAAGTATCAAACTTTTAGTCACAGATCTAGCATAGAATAGTGTACACGCATGACAATGTAAAATGATAAGAGGAACCGATTAACGGTCTAAAATAAAGCTCATCAAGAAGCATATAGCATGCATTTCTTCCTGTATCACTAAGGCTTCATTTGCGAAGACTTTCTTACTGCTTCTTAAAGCAGCTTTCTAGTAAAAAATTTTAATTTTTTAACTAAAAAGCTACTTTAAGAAGCAATAAGAAAGCCGACCCAAACAAAGTGAGTTAGAGAATTTTGAGGTAAAGGTATACGTTCAATTCCTACGTACAACATAGATTAAAATTACCTGTATAAGACCCTTAACACGCCAAACATTGTGTTTCAATACCACAATCTGTGGATCATTAGGGTGCATCGATTGCAGCTCCTTTCTAATAGATTCAATTGATGCATTGTGCTCAGCTGACAATTGCATGGCAAGAATCTCACCAGTTGCTTTCACAAGCCTCCCAAGAATTGCTCGTGAATCTCCGAGGTTAGAAACATAAATTGCTCCATCGCAGACTATGCCGACAAGACAGCAGGAGCCAACGGACGCAATATGCGGATTTAGCGGCCACTGTTGAGAGACTAAAGAAAGAAAACCATCTTCTGTGGCTTGGATTGCTTTTCTGATCACATCCACAGACATGGACTGTTGCTCAGTCATCAATCCTGCCAAGAATTGGTAAGAACATCAATTACTGCATTTGATAGAAACAAAAATGTTTCTTAATACAACTTAAATCAGAATTCATCAAATAAGCTGGTTAAAGATCAAATTCAAAAATAAATTACATTGGCAAAAGATGGAAATTCACCAAGATCCAATTATCAGACAGCAACATTAGAAATCTAAGAAAATATAAAGAACATTAAAAGGAAAAAAGCAAAGAAATGCAACTATGTGGCCTGCACCAGTAAAAACCCCCGGTGCCCTTTTATTTATTTACTTTTGAGTGTCAATTGATGCCTTCAACAAATTTTAGTTTTTAAACAGTCTTTAATTACAAACTTCATCGTTTTCTATCTGTTTTATAATACTTCATTAAGAATAATCATAATTGCTATCTTTAATCCTTTGAGGGTGTTTTTATCTGGTAAAAAGAATAGCCCTTATATTAAAGAGCAAAAACCTTGAAAACTCTAGTGCTAATCACTTTAATGATCTAAGTTATTAAAATTTTAAAATGTTCTGAAGTCCTTCCAAATAAATACCTGGAAGCAGAAAGAGAATAGAAAAATGAACAAAAATAAAAGAATCAGATTATACTTAGAAACTTAAAAAGGATTAAAAAAAAAAATTCTTGCCCAATTCACCTCCTGAAGAACATGCGTGATAACCCTTCATGTTAAGTAATATGATTCCATAAACACAAAAATAAGACAAATTCAAAGCATTCTACAAAAGAAAAAACATTTGGAACCTTGAAGCCAATTGTTAAATTGCAATAGTAATATTTTTTCTTGTCCCAGAGCCTTACTCTTGATATGGCCAAACAGATGGTTAGTAATGTATTGAGCCACCTCTGGTCCCCCATGACCATCATAAATCCCAACAAAGGAACCAAAAGGACCAGAATCCATCAAGCTCAGTGAACCAGATTCAATCTGGCTCCGATCCTCAAGTAACTTGTTAGCTTGGAACACAGCCACGGAGAACTCGCCATTAACATGCTGGCCAAAATCCTTGTACCAAAGAAGTCCATTCTGTTGACCTAAGGCATCAGAGCCTCCCACTAATAACTTTTTTGATGACGGTCGCCGCACACAAGCACTCAGAAGGTTCATTAACAGAGTTACCATCCCTCATCTCACAAAAAATATCAGATCTTGCAAGAATATGTGTCCAATACTGCAATCTGTAACATACGATAAACAGAAAAATGATATAGGATGAAACAAACTCATTTGAGAGAAAGATAAATGGGAGAGCAAGAAAAGCCGAATTTGCCGCTTGTAGGAGGATATAATTCAGCAATGGAAAAAAGGGAAACTTTGTAGAAAAAAAGATGTAAGACGAAAATCAACTTTTTGAAATTTCTCCCCTTCCCAGAAGCTATGTTGGAAGATTTAAAAACAAAATTCCAGGAATCAATATCTCATTGGTTATCTTTTTAGTTTAATTCCAAAGATATACAAAGAGTCCCGCCTCCATTTCTTCCACAAGAAACTCGAAACTTGCCCCCAAAATCAAATTTTTTTTCGTGAAATATATCAGAAAAGAAGTCGAGGAAGCACAAACCCAATTGAAAAAACAGTAAAGTCGGAGGTTTTCTTGCACTCTGAAGCAAAAAAAAAAAGTCTCAGACACTGTAAAGAGCTCACCATTCCTAGTTCAGCTGGTATAAACTCAACTCAGGTGGCGAAGAACTGTTTTCTCTCCTTCGTCTATTTCCTCTTTGCCTGGTTAATTTTGGAACCACCGAAACCCAATTTAGGGCAGATAGGAATAATCGAAAATAAAATATTGGGCAAATTTTCTTCTTATTTCCCAACAAAAAAAACAAATTTGTTCATATTTAATATCGAATTAAGACAGGTTCATCAATTATGTCCAAAAAGAATTTGGACACCATCGTTTCATATCGAATTATGATCGGTTCAATTGCTCTAATAAAGTTTCAAATGGTCTTCTTTCTGCCGATTGTCAAGACTGAGTGATCCTTCAGAGCCCAATAAAAGTGTGTCCCGTTACCCTCTACTTGATACTACGGCTAGATACTGGATGACGAGGCTGCACCTGATTCGTCACACTCATCACTAGGAGTATAAGTGAGTCAGGCTAACTTGTGTTTTGGCATGATTTGGCTCGATGAAAAGCTTATGAGTCGAGCTCGATATACTAATTAGACAAAGTTGAGCCAGCCTAACACAACTCATCAGCTCACGAGCCAATTTATTTAAGAAAATATCAATATAAAATATAGTTAAAATATATTAGCATTTAACAGTTGAAGCAAAAATTTGTTAAAAATATTTAAAAGTTGTATCCCATATCATTATATTAAGTAATTTCCAATTATTTTTCTTTTAATTTGTATTCTTTAATCCATTTAATTGTATTAATTGTTTGAATCAAAAACATTTTTTTAAAAATGAATTAGCTTGCTCCTAAGCCAACTCAAAATCATGAATTAAGTTCAAACTCAAGCTCAAGCTAAAGCCAAGGGTGCCTCGAGCTCAACTTGACTTGTTTACACTCCTACTTGCTGCAAATTACCCGCCTCCATCGATTGCATCTCCCTTCCCCAACTGTCACAACTGCCCTACCACTATTACGACTAATTGACCACTACTACTAGACACCACCATTTTTTCATGCAGCTCGCTACTACAGTCCCCCAATCATCACCATCAATCGCCAACCAACTTTGTTGGCCATTGCCCTTGACCACCAACGCTAGCATTATCGACCTCCACCACAATCGTTGACCACCATCGTCTTGCCCTGATGACCATGACATTCAATTTTTATATCAATTTCATTTTACTTCAAACCAAATAAAAAAAAAAACCCTTCTATTTTTGTTTTGCACTCAAACCAAATAACTAAATTATTTTAAACACAATAAAATTTAATTTGTTATGCATTTAGAATGCATTGATTTCTAAATACTTGAACCTAAAAAGCCTCACAATGCATAAAAATTGGATCGAAATTCTATGGTGCATTTGATTTATTCTTATTATTTATATTGACGTATTTTTTTCATGTAAGATAAATATTATATATGATACGTCATGCAAAAATTATCTTGATCGGGCACGAATCTCAAGGCAAAGATCAAGTTGGAAACTTCAAAAATTAAATCTGGGATCACCTGAACTCTGATTTCAGCAAACTTATAGCCGAACTGAGCGTCTCGGAAATACGAACCCAACGATCCCAAATTCAACTCAATCCGAGCCCAAATCAAGCACCCGAAGTGCTGTTAGAAAGCTCGTACCACAGATTGAGTTACCAAACGGTCTCCGATTTTGACGAACTTATAGTCGAATCGAACGGCTCGACGATACGAATCCAACAAGCCCTAGATTGCAGGATTCCGACATCACTAAGGCCTTCAAATGGTTGATGAACGGTGTATGATCAAGTGATTCAATATCAGCCGTCCATTCAACCACTCCCTGTTCGCCTCTGATCTCACACCTATTTACAAGCCATGCCACTCAGGAAAAACTATAAATAAACCCCTCATTTCTCTTCAGAGGGGTACCCAAGCAAGAAGTAAGAAGGAAGAAGAAGAAGAGAAGGAGAAGGAGAATCAGCTCCTCCTCGACCACCGTCGGAGTTCCGCCCGAACTCCAAATGACGCCAGAATTCTGCCCGACTTCCAATGGACGCCATAATTCTTCCCAACTTTCACGGGATGCTGAAATTCTTCCCAATTAACGACAGAGTTCCCTCCTGACGCTGAAACTCCGCCCAAGTGATGCTGGAATTCTCCTCAGCCACCAATAGACGTCGGACTTCTACCCGACGTCGGACATTCACTCTTCGCCAAGTTTCTACGCGACGCCGGACTTCTATCGATTATTGGATTTCCGCTGGACATATATCCAAAGATGGATTTCTTTCTATTATTGGACTTCTACCTGACACTATTCTTCTGACCTTCTTCGTTGGACAACAGTCTTTACGACCTCCGTCGCCCGCCGACTACGATCCTCCTGACTTACGTCGCCTGCAGACTACAGTCTTTCCGACCTCCGACGCCAGACAATGGTCTTTATGACCTCCGCCGCCCGCCGACTATAATCTTTATGACCTCCGTCATCCGCTTACGTCACCTGCAGACTACAATCTTTCCGACTTCCGTCGTCAGACACCTCCATCAACATACAACGGTCTTTCTGACCCCGGTCTCCTGCCAACTACGGTCTTTCAGACTCCCGGTCTCCTATCGACTACGGTCCTTCCGACCTCCGTCATCCGCCGACTACGGTCCTCCTGACTTATGTCGCCCGCCGACTACAGTCCTTCCGACCTCCATCACCTACTATGGCTCTGCAGACCAAACGAACATGTCAATAGTGACTCTTTGTATTTACATCATGTAATGTACTATATAAGATGTGCATCAAGCTAAGGCCTTCTCCCAAGGAAGGACCTCATTTGTAATCGACTGCAAATACTAGTGGATTCATTCGAACTGGGCTAGGCTCTGTGGTTTTTTCCCCTCTTCAGGGGTTTTCCACGTAAAAATCTTGGTGTCTTATAAATGCTAGACCCTCTCTCTCACATCTGATTGCGTGCCGGATTTTCGTACAACGCTAAGACGATAAACTTTATATTTCTCCACAGCCGCGAATATTCCTGAACGCAACAATACAACATCAAAAAAAGTATGTTTTTAATTTTTGTGTGTTTTTTCATAAGCATGTATCTTTTTCTTCTTAATAAATAAAAAGAAAATAAATAAAAATCTTATAAATTTTATGAAATGTTTCAAATATGTTTCCCATAAAGGGCAACCAACTAAATCTACCTAATCATTTTGAAATTCACATTGTCTTAATCTCCATACAAATATAATAGATTAAGCTATTTTAAACTTAAGAAATAGATATTATAATTAAGCATATTTTCTTTAATTATTTATCCTTAGTGTGAAAAAGAGAATTTTAAAATATTGTATTAGACTTTCTGATGAAATGGTGCTAAGGTCTTGAAAAGTTGTAAATCTAAGCACAAAAAGTAACACACCAATGTATACATAACTATGTCTCTTTATATTTAAAAGCATGATAATCTTTCCATCTTATGAAGAATATATTCTACTTAGTGGCATCTATAGGGAATTCATGTGATGTGACATTATCCACTTCAAAGAAGATAGGGTCTATCCACAACCACTCTCAATTAGTGATCATATCTTTTATAAATTTACTAAAATGAGCTTTATAGTAACCTAATTTTAAGAATATTGGTTCAACTTTACATGAACATTAAAAAGTGGTAAATGCTATATTTCATGCATTTATCTATGTTACTAATTGATTCTTGAAATTCTATCCAACTCAAAATTATTATAATCAAGTATGGAAAACTGAATAATTAAGTAACATAATATACAAACTTAAATCACATTAGACTAAGTATAAAAAATGAGGCTTTGTATGCGATGACTTTCTTACTGTTGTTTCTTAAAGCAGCTTTCTAGCACAAAAAATTTTGTACTAGAAAGCTATTTTAAAAAATAGTAAGAAAGCCATCTCAAATGAAGCCCAAGTCATGCTAATTTAGGCTTTGTTTGAGACAACTTTCTTACTGCTTCTTTAAATTGTTTTCTGCTACAAAAATTTTAATTTTTTTACTAGAAATCTGCTTTAAGAAGTAATAAGAAAGCCTTCTCAAACGAAGCCTTAATTGAATTAACAATGTGATCTCAATTCATTGCATTACTAAATTAACACAAACGCTAAAGATCAACAAGTTCAACTCATAACATAAACTAAATAATTGTAAAGAGGTGTTACAAAATTGAAGAGTGATGTGAAAGTGTTATGACTTGTAACCTCAATACAAATAAATGAGAATATCATCCAAGTTGTGATCTCAAAAACATTTCAATCATATACAAAATTTTTATACAAGACACTACTCAACAATCACTAACGCTGCATGTTATCGCGTCAGCCTGTCACGAGCGATCACATGAAGAGGAGGGGGTTTGTCAGAGGGACGATGTGAGAGGACGGAATAAAGGAAATCAACAACTAGTCTAATATAATAAATTAACTTTACTAAAATTGCAAGATTTACTATGTAAAATAACCTACTCAATGTCCAGAGAGAATTACATCATGAAATAGAAATGTTTATGACTAGTACTTAAGATATAGTGTTTGTGTGCGGAAATTCAGAGATTTTGGAGTCTTTGGTCACTTCTAACCCATCCGTTTTGAATGTGGTTAATGCTGTGAATGATGTGCCTAGTAGTCGTGTTGGTAACTATTCTGTCTTATCCCCCGATGCAGCTCCTTTTGTACCTCCGGTTGTGACTGATGTTAGTGACCATGGTTCTCCGGTGGTGGTGCCGGAGGTAGTTGTTGATGCAATGAATGTGGTGTATTCTGATGGCTCGCCAGTTATGGGTGTTGTGAATTCTAATGGGGGTGTTCAAGGTTTAAAAGATGCAGATGGTGGTTCTGATAGTGTTTTGCCTGTTGCGGTGGTGCCGGCTGAAATTGAGAAGGGAAGAGAGGAAGTTAATTTGATTACCAACAGTTTAGTTGTGGTTCCTGTAAGCGTGGTTGATTCTCAAGTGATGGCCAATTGTGTGGGTAATTCTTCTGGTTTGGATATTAGGAATCAGAATAATTGTTTGGTTGATTCGTCGAATGTGGAGTCGGATTCGCAGTCTGTTGAGTCCGACAATGATTTTACTCTTGTGCGTACTTCAAAGGTTGGCTATCGCGGAAAATTTTGGGGGAAAGGTCGACGCAGGAAATGATTTTTCGTTTCGTATGTTTGTTGATCCTTGTTGC